CTTCGGGCTGTTTGTGGGTCACACCGTGGTGGCGCTGAGGGGTCTGGGCAGCACCTGAGGGCCAGTGGACTTCACACAGGACCAGCAAGGGCGTCAGTACCTTTGTGGGGCCCTGCCTACGCCTGACTGCGGCCAGGCCGGACAGGCTCAGCCTCAGCTCCTCCCTGCAGGATGGAAGGGGAGCCCCCGAAGAGCTCTGGAGGTGCAGCCGGGGAGGCTCACGGGGCTCACAATTGCAAATGCCCAGACCCCTCCTAAGCCACGCCCAGATCTGGGAGGCACTGGAGCCCCGACTACAATGCCCTCCCCTCTGCACCCCACAGGGCGGGCACCGGACCTGACCACGGGGACCCGGCCAGTGTTTGTTGAAGGAAGGTGCACTCCATGGGCCCCTGGCACCGACCTAGAACATTCCATGATTTTGCAGCCAGTGGCCTTTCCTTGTTGCATGTGAGGCCCCTGGGCTGGACTGGGGTGGACAGACTCCTGGCCCCTGAGGGGCTCCCCACCAGGCTCAGCCCTCAGCCAGCACGGGTGGGGCCCCGGGGTGGCCTCTTGGCCGTTTCCCGGAGCAGGGCTCCTCGGCTCCGCCCCGCCCCTTGGAAGCCAGCACTGAAGGACCCAGGTTGGCGCATCGGGAGCGCTGGACGAGCCGGGCTGTATGCGACTGACCCGGGCACCGGCCCCCGGCACTTACCTCCTCCCAGGTCCTGGGCTTCCATGTGGACCAAGTTGGGGTCAGCGTCGACCCCAGAAACAGCCCTGAAAGAGAAGGGGTGGAGGCTGGCGTCGGGAGAGGAGTCGGCCTGCCTCGGGGTGCCGGTCACCCACGCCCTCGGACCGCTCCAGGTCGCTCGTCCTGGAGCTGGAGGGCACGTCCCCCCAAGCCCAGGGCTGCGGACGGGCCTGGCATCTGGCCTGCTCCTGTGCTCTGTGATTTTTTTGATCATCCAATGGCCAGGAGGCAGGGGTGCTGGGGTGCTGGGGTGCCCTGAGCTCAGGAAGGCTTCATCTTGTGTAAGGCAACTCAATAAATTGTTTCAAGGTTTCCCAAAAAAAAAAAAAAAAAAAAAAGAGGAAAGGCTCGGTCAAGGGCACAGGGCTGAGAGCCGCCGAGGGGCGCCTCCGGTCAGGCCCTCACTGGCCCCAGCCCCACATCGTGGCCACTCCTGGGGGCCCGCTCCCACCACCTCCGAGGACTGGCCCCTCCTGGCGCCAGGAGCTGGCTGGAGGAGCCCCCGCCCCGGCACAGCACCCCAGTGTGCCCACAGCGCCCCCACCGTGCTGGATGGTGGGTGGTCGGCTGGGCAGACGCCTGGGGGTGGCCAGCCCGGCCAGGGCCGGAGGGTCCAGCCTCCGGGGGAGGCACCAGGCCCCACCCCGGAGGCCGGACCCTCCAACGACGCTCAGCCCCACAGTGGCCAGCCCAGTGCCTCTGCAGAGCTGGTGCCCGCGGCCTCTGCCTCAGGCAGGGCGGCCCAGCTCCAGAGGAGAGCCAGGGAGCAGGACACCGTCCCCCAAAGCCGCAGACACCCCAGGAGCCAAGGAGGCGCGGGCCGGCTCTCGGGCTGGG